TAAAGGGAACAGTCACCTTGGAGTCAAAGTGATCCCCGTTTGATTGGTAAATCAAGTGGAGCGAAGCTTCCAGACACTGCAAGTGGAATCTGGCGAACTGCATCAGAAAGGTGCATACGGCAATGTGGAGGGAGGAATGCTCTTGCTCCTTTAAAATTTATTGTCCTTGTGGGTGACAATATGGACTTTTCTTCATTTATTCAAATACATAGGGGTGCAGGAAGTTGCACAAGAAACCGGCCTAAGTCATACAAGTATGGAAATACCCAGCAATTGATAGCCTGCTGGGCGGCTGCCGCACAGGGAACTTAGGGGAGCGGGGAGCTGATAAGGGGGCTGCTGGTCCACACTGGTTCCAAGCCCCCACCAGCTAGTTCCAACAGGCTGCCCTTTCTGCAAGCAATGGACGAAGCAGGCGGCTGCCAAACAATGTTATAAGGGAGCATTGGGCAAATGTAACAACGAAACAACGTTAACCGGGACGACTTTAAAGTGAGGAGTTACTGTAGTTGGGAATCCCGTATGTCCACGGAAATACAGCTATCTCCTCTGATTCCGAGGACTGCTCCATCGGTAGTGGCAGTACCATTGGTACTGGGGCACTCCTGCCTGATGGTTGGAAATGCAACTGCTTCTCGGACATTGATATAGATTCCTCCTCTGGAGTAAAGACCTCCCTCAGGAGGACAGGGTCAGAAAGGAGTGGAGACTGTGGATAAGGGAGGAATATATCTTCTGGTGTTATGTAAGTCTCTGAATAGCCTGCGGTCCAAGAAGTTCCAGCAGTCATGCCTGAAGGCCCCAACTCATCTGTTGCAGCCGAACGATCATTAGATGAACAAGGTGGTGTTAATGACAGGTCTGGACCAGCACTCGTAGATGGAATTGGCGAGCGTTTGTGCTTATGCTTCGGTATCACAGTCCCCATGGGAAAAAGGTGGATCTCTCCTTTTGCACGTCTTGCCCTCCAACCTGGAGATCTTTGGCAGAGGCAGTTCCATGGGTTCTGAGCACAATGTCTGACCTGACTTGGACCAGCTTGGGGAAGGATTGTGTTTCTTATGGACAGTCCACTGTGGGGATCTATTCTTGTGCCCATTAGAGTATCTTCTACTCTCAAGGGAAGCCATGGAGGAAGAGTCCTGGGGCTTCAGTGTTAGAGGCTCTACTCCAAGGCACATGCTTGGAGGGACATTATTGGTCAGTTGAGGCCAATGGACAGGGAGGTCTCGCTGGCCCGGATCAGAGTGGGGCTTCATAGCCTCCTCCATCAGGTACTTTCTTAGGTGAAGCTCTTAGTCTTCTCGAGTTCTGGTGGAAAGGCTCAAGAGATACTGCACTTAGCAAAGTTGTACACCTCACCCAGACAGTACAGGCACCGTTGATGTTCGTCACGGATGGAGAAGGAACAAGGGCAGGACATGCAATTCTTGAATTTCCCTCAAGTGGGGGGGGGGGGGGAAGGGGGAGGACTACTCTATACTAACTACAAATTTAAACTGCTAAGCTAAGAGATAAAACTATTTACAAATACTTTCTACTTTACAAGTTATGCACAGAATGGAGGAGGACATGTTTCTGACTCAGGCCATGTGGCAGTAAGAAGGAACTAGAGAGGCATCAATCCGCACTGCCTCTTACACCCTCGGTTGAGAGCATGAGGGGAGCTACTGTGCATGTGTGGATCAACAGACACTAATTTTGAAGAATTTCTGGATTTGGGTGCATGGTGTGCATGCACACCCACATGTGGAATACACATAGGTACCATGACTCAAAGAACTTACTTTGGGGGTAAAGTCTGGACTGATTCAAAGAACCCTAAAGCACAATATATTGCTATTTCAGAGAAAAGTTGCCCACTTCAGACACTACATGCAGAAGTTATAGCCATCATAAAGGCTACTTGGACACAAAGAAAGTGCAAAATCAATTACAGAGGTCTGACTAGTAGTATGGCAATTGTATCTATGATGAGGTTTCATTGTGCCGTTCAGCATTTCCTGAAGATTAATCAGAGATGACTTTCTCAGAAAGCACTTGGGATGAAGAAGAAAAATTCACTTACTCTCCTATTATCAAAAAGAGATTGCTGAGGGCTGTTCCTGGAAAGCAGTTTAAAGTGTAGGGCCAGCAGTTCTTGCAGCTATTCTAGTGCAAGGATTTTTGCCAATTTTGTGTTGATGTTTTTTGCACTGTACCCAGTCACTGAATTTAAACCAGTTTTTGGCATATTCTGCATGAAGAGATTTCCTGGATGCCTGAAGGGTCTCAGTTACTTTAATGAACTTGCCTGTTTCAGGACAGCTAGTTCACAGCGAAAAGGTGAGATGAACAGAGAAAAGGATATTAATACCCATTTGCAAGTACCTAGCTGGGGAACAAATATTTGATAATGGACTCTTATCTAGCAGACAAACGTGCACTGGGAGCTCATGTTCAGTTGACTATCTACCATAACCTCCAGAGCTTTTTCAGAGTCACTGTTTGGGCAAAGCCTACATTCTTTGTTCTGAGATGAATATATTTATGTGCTGTTGGAATCTTTATATTTTGATTATATTTACTGTTAGAAAAAACTTCTCCACCATTTCCAACCCCATGAACCTCATAGACTCATAGACTTTAAGGTCAGAAGGGACCATTATGATCATCTAGTCTGACCTCCCGCATGATGCAGGCCACAAAGCCGTCCCAACCCTTTCCCTTGACTCTGCTGTTGAAGTCCCCAAATCCTGTGGTTTAGAGACTTCAAGTAGCAGAGAATCCTCCAGCTAGTGACCCCTGCCCCATGCTGCGGAGGAAGGCGAAAAACCTCCAGGCCCTCTGCCAATCTACCCTGGAGGAAAATTCCTTCCCGACCCCAAATATGGCAATCAGTAGAACCCCGAGCATGTAGGCAAGGTTCTCCAGCCAGACCCTCATTGGCCATTGATACTATTT